GTTTTTGTCTCGTCGCTCCAGCCGGACACGGCATCACAGTATGGTGAGGGGCGTAACATTTCCGTCTCACGCTTGAGGTATTCGGCCAATCACAACGCACTGGATAGCTGGCCAATCACAGCACACCTCGCTTTTCAGACCGATGAGCTTTGTACAAATCGACGAGTTTCAGAAAGGCGGGGCATAGAGGAGAAACAATAATGTACAGTATGTGGATAATAATGTGTTTTTTTAACCTTAAACGCATAAACACATTTCATTACACCAAATATTATTAAATAATATGAACATTTATTACAGTTTTTATTAATCTTTGTTTACATTAGTTAATACAAATACAGTTGTTCATTGTTAGTTCATGTTAGTTCACAGTGCATAAACTAATGTCAACAAACAACTTTTGATTTTGATAATGCATAAGTAAATGTTGAAATTAATATTAACTAAGATTAATAAATGCTGTAGAAGTAGGCTGTTGTTTATTCTTAGTTCATGTTAACTAAAGTAGTTAACTAATGTTAACTAATGAAACCTTATTGTAAACTGTTTCCAGAATATTGTTCAAATTGTTACTGCCTTTAGTTATTATTTTGGAATAAATATAAAAATGCATAAAAACACTTATGAAATGTATAATTAGTATTAAAAATATAAAATAAAATAAAAAATAATATTAATAAAATACAAAATAGAATTATATTTGTTCTCTTTTTATGTAATATTTATATATAAATATATATTTATATATAAAACTGCCTCCTCATTTTAAAACACCACCACACACCACTGACACAGGTGTATCCTTTGCACGTAAATTCCTGACACCTGACGCACGTAAATTCTCCTCCCCCTTCACATCTGTTGTAATAATTGTAATTTATATTTTACCTTTGCAGTTTAAATAAACCATACATGTCATATATTTTAAACAGAGCATCTTGCTTTATTAATATTTATTATGAATGTCTTAAATAACAAACATTAACAACATAAGGGCAGATCCCTTTAGTGCAGCTGCTGACGCTTTGAAGTGATGCTAAAGGGAGCGAGGATATATCATTTTACTTTACTCAACTCCGTCCTCAGGGAAGTGAGGAAAGGAAACGAGGATGCACAAATAGGAATTGAGAAGCACCCTTTCCCTGCGTTCCATTCGAAAGGGCTCATCCCTATGCCCTAATCCCTTCAAAGGGTTTACCCTCCGGAGTGAGAGCTTCGAAGGGTTGAAGGGTGTAGGGGACCAAACAACTGTTTCTTGAAGTGCCCTTCTGCGTCATCATCACGTGCCCACACGGAGGCGCCGTCATCATGCAAAGAATCTGCACAAAGGATCATGGGAGCCCGAAGTGTCCATTAGACAACGTGGCGCAGGACGTGAAAATGATAACTGCGTCCGGCTGAAACTAGCAAAAATCACTTCCGTCGCGCCTGGCGCCGCATTGCGCCAGGTGTATGATAGGGCCCTTGGTCTTTCAGGCCAGTTTTTGTTAGAATTGTAAAAATGACTCTTAAAAGCATTGGTAAGAATATATATATATATATATACATACACTTCAACGTGTTTCATTTAGTTGCCTAACATTTCTAATTAAAAAAGAAGTTTTCTATCTAATATTTATATTTAAGTCTTATATATAAGTCGTTTTCACCATGCTGTTTTGTCACTTAGTATTTTATTTTGGTGTGTCAAACTATTAGATTACTTAGTATATAAAACCATGATCGCACTCACATAAATAGTCTTCTTTTTAGAGTTTTATTTTACATTGATCACCAGTAGGACAAAATACAAACGTTTTAACTTAAAGGCTTTCTTCAGTGCATCGAACAATTCAATCCCTCCACTTATTTTTTAAATCATTAATTATATTGACATCATCATTCATTAACCAATGTTTAATCTCTAAAAACACACAGATTACATTTAAATGCTGGACAATTTCCATTTGTGTACAACACAAACCTTGATGTCATCAATATAATTAATGCGCTAAAAAGAAGACTATTTTTGTGAGTGCGGATCATGATTTTATATACTAAGCTTTATTTCAGTTACCAAAATTGAGCAAAAATCTGAAATACTGGACCAACCAAAAAATCAAGTAATGATCAGTTACATGTGGTGATTTTTGTTGCTTTGTCTTTAAGACTTGTATGTAAGTACTCTTCACATGTGAACTGAGAAACTGAGCTGCAGGTTTGTAATGGGGCATTTCATTTTCTAATGGGGCATTTCTAGGTCCGAGTGCTGCACGATCAGTGGTTTAGACCCCGTCGCAAACAACAAAACCAAGCTACTCCCCCTCTGAGTAATGGTAGCTCACCGCCACCCCCTAGTGCCCAGGTTCCTGACCCACCGTCAGTGCCAGGGCCAGAAGATGGAATCAGAGGAAGGAGAAAACTGTCAAAAGCCCTCCTGAAGAGAATAAACACTACAGAAAGGTGAGCTAGTCTGAATGATCGGTACAAGCCAAGCTCTGAAATTACACAAAATGTGAAATACAAAGAGTGTCACCTTCATACATTACAGTCTGCTGTCATTTACAATGTAGTATTCTTTGAATTCCCATTTTATATTTTACAACATCTGAGTATGAGAAGCTCTGTTGCTGCTCTTTACCTTCCCAGGTCTGTGTTTATCTCTGATAAAAGTGGGGTGCGGGTGTCCTCAGAGCTGCAGATAGAGGATGGCATGATTCAGCTGTTTGTGGAGAAGGCAGAAATTTGTGAACTAAAGCTGATTGTGGAGAACACGAGTCAGGATGCCGTGTATTTCACATATTACACTGCTCTTCACTGGCTGCAGTATTTCACTCTGGAAGACAGCAGAAGGGTCACGCGTAATAATCCACTCCGTCTGGAGCCATGTGAGTGCAATCAAACTGTACAGGAGAAACTGGTGTTGGTGTTGTTTCTAGGTTTCATTTGGTATCATGCTAGTCTCTGACATTATGATGTATTCTAAATAGAAAATGTTTTTTGGAGCCACTGTGCAGTGGTTAGCATACATGCCCTTGACATGTTGGGCTGTGATGCTAAGGTTAGTGTCACAGGTTTGAACCCAACTTGTTGCTCTCTCTCTCGTTTTTGAAAGGTGAGAAGTACGAGGTGACCTTAAGATTCAAAGCAGAACAGATAGGAGTCTATCCTGCCACTCTAGCATTTGAGTTCAAGGAAAACACCCAACCCGCCACCCGTCCTTTTCACATTGTTCGGTTCGTTCAGGCAGAATACAGGTCCGAGCTTGCAGCTCTGCTGGGTCCAGAAGCACCATTCAGACCTAAGAGGCTTGAGACATATGAACCTGCGAGGTGCAACATAGATGAGGGGGTTCCACCTGAGAGGTGAAAGAAAAAACACTCTTTTTAAGAATTAAATACAATTTTTTTTCTCTGTTTATATTTGTACAGAAATCAAATGTTTTTCTCACATTTGCAGTTTTGCTCGAAACCTTTTGAAGTTTGTGGTGCCACTGGATAACTACACTCGTCCTTCTTACATCTCTGACTTAGCCGAGGTCCTAAAAGGCAGCCGTTCTTTCCCGAAGCTCCAGGAACAGAAGTTAGTGATCTCTAGTTGCGCCTACTGCCTAATTGTGCTTTTAGATCTTAGACCTGTTACTGAATGGTCCAGGATCAGCTCTCTGCATGGACATGTATAGTGGAAGCTATTGTTACTGTTCCCCTTGTGTGTTTGGTGGTTTTTAGGTCACTGCTGGAGAGTGATCTGGGCTTTCATAACTATATAGAGCGCTTTGATTTACTACTGTACCTGGAGGAAGATCAAATGCGTCTAGACATCAAGAGGTATAACAAAGATGATGTGTCCATGGTGAAAGACTGTGAGAACAAACGACTGCTGGTCTTAGAGGTGAGTGGCATTCTTTTATTGCCTATTATTAAAGCGTGTGATTGTGGCTGCATCCGAAAGCTGAAAAATGCTGCCTTTGGAGGATGCATTTTAAGGTAGGAAGGCAACAAAGCAAATCTTATCCAATGTTAACTTAACTTCCTGTCTGCTGAGATGCCTACATCTGACTTTTGAAGGCAGCATAGATGTTGTTATCCCACAATCCTGTGTGTTCAATTCTGTGACAGTTAAGCTAAAAAAATAAAGATGTCGTCTGAAAGTTGCAGTTGGTGTTCATTTTGTGTGTAAATGTCCATTTTTGATTGTTCGACTTGTTCCACTTTTGATGTAATTTCTAGCAGAAAATTAGTATTGTAGTAATTAAACATTCGCTAAGTTATCACCAAAAATATCTATTTTATCTATACCGCTATGCTGCCTCGGAAGTCTGTGTGAAATCAGTCTCACGAAGTACCTTTGTGTGCAAACACTGCCTGCAAAGTCATTGTCTAATAGGGATGACACAATCCGCCATCTCTATCTCTCTGTCGCTCGGCTAATGTCCGTCCCATGCACTGAACGCGCTCTCCTCCACATCATGAGTAGACACGCCCCTTATTGCTGATTGGCTACAAGTTTGTTTTGCGATTCGGCCCGAATCAGTTTTATAAAGTGTTTTTGAAAAATCACTTACTATGCCTTTAAAGGGAAAGTGCACCCAATTATTTACTTTAATTTGTTAATCTTCAACTCCATTAAGGATAGTAAATGTACTACAAAGACAAAAAATTTCACCAATGTTATTTTTGGGTGAACTGTCCCCTTATGTAATATGTGCTTTTTTATTTGTTGGAAAGTATAATGTGTTGAGGTCATTTAATGTTATTTGTTATGTTAAAGCTCCCTGGTGTATCAGAGAACAGACCATCAGTCCTGAGAGGAGATCAACTGCTTCTCACCAAGAGTGAGGAGGTCCAACTCTCAACTGTGACCAAATACAAGGGCTACGTCCACAGAGTGGAACTGGATCAGGTCAAACTGGGCTTCTCTCGAAGGTAGGAAGTATGAGGAATTCATGACAGGTGTCATTTGAACATCAGAACATTGAAGGAGTATTAAATAAAACAGGGTTGATATTGTCGAGAATCAAAAGTTTCAGATAAAAAGAGCTTTATGTATTATAAAAGCATACTGTAACTTCCAGAACGCAAAACTACAGCTCAGTTTCTCAGTTCACATGTGAAAACTATTTACATATAAGTCTTAAGGAAAAAGCATCAAAAATCAGCACATGTAATTGAGCATTACTTGATGACTAAGAAATATGTGTCTCTTAACACTCATGATTACCATTAATACAAATGTAGCTTTTGTTAAAAGGTTGCAGCTCAATCAAAGTATTTTAAGCTAAGGAGCACACACAAAAAATGCTGAAGAAGGGTCACTGAAACGGGTCTGTTGTAGATTTCCTCTATGCACCTGACTTAAGTGAACTTTTGGGCGTCTCCAGTTGATGCTTACAAATTTTTCCTCTAGCCACGTCTCCAGTCCAAATCTTGCTGAGCTGGACAACGTTTCGTCCTTATGAACACTATCAAAAGCATGACTCATTACATCATTTTTCTCTAATATGAATTGTGCAATTCAGCAACAGCATAGTTTCCACAAAAAATATTAAGTGGAACTGTTTTCAACATTGATAGTAAGAGATGTTTTTTGAGCAGCAAATCAGTATATTAGATTGATTTCTGAAGGATCATGTGACACTGAAGACTGGAGTAATGGCTGCTGAAAATTCAGCTTTACCATCACAAGAATAAATTACATTTTAAAATATATTGAAATAGAAAAGAGTCTTGTATTGTAATAATATTTCACAAGATTACTGTTTTACTGTATTTTTGTTGACAAATAAATGCAGCCTTGGTGAGCATGAGAGATTTCTTTTAAAAACACAAAGCAATCTTACAGACCCTAAAATTGGAAAGATAGTGTCAAACATCAAATGCTTCACATACTTAAGGTTTGCAAAAATTATGCCATGTTCATATGCCATGTTCTTATTTTGCATATTTATTGAAAGACCAGATTTAAACTTTTTGTATATGTATTTGTGTTTTATGTGTAAAGGCTGCTTGACGGTTTCATAGATAATATGAAATTTCGTGTGGAGTTCACAGTGAATCGTCTCCCGTTAAAACTGCAACACAGAGCAGTACACATGGCGGTCCAACACGAGCTCAGAGATGTGCTGTTCCCTGTGGGCTCAAGGAGCATGACCCCTGAGTCTCCACCTGCACTGAGGTCAGTAAGACACATCTGTACTGAACTTATGCAACAAAATCAAATTTTAGTAAAACGTTATGGAATACTTCAGCTGGATGTGTATTTTTGTGTGTGTGGGGTGGGTGTCTACAGGCTCTTTGATCAAAAGCTGGACAAGAACCCTGAACAGAAAAATGCAGTATGTAACATTGTGGCTGGTACGTCCAAGCCGGCACCGTACTTGGTGTTTGGACCTCCTGGCACTGGTAAAACCGTCACGATAGTGGAGGCCATCAAACAGGTCAAGCTGGTTATCATACTCAAATAAATATACACCCAACAGACACACCTACATGCAAATCATCTCATTGTGTCTGTATGCAAAATTGAATAAGCAGAACAGCTATTGTAATTGATTTTTCTCTTTCTTTTATCTTTCATCTCGAAGGTGGAGAAGAATATACCTGGTGCCTATATCCTAGCTTGTGCTCCATCTAACAGTGCAGCTGATCAGCTGTGTGAAAAGTTGATCACTAGTGAACATGTTGATGCACGGAAGATATACAGAGTCTACGCTAGCTCACGCAATCCAAAAGATATCCTTAAAGTCCTAGAGGTTAGTGCTTGTCTGACTTTATTTATCAATTAAAGGTTTGATTAAATGAACTAAATAAAAAATACAAAGATTTGATGGAAAATATGAAATAACAATGGTACATTGTTTACATTTTTTGAAACAAAATTCCACATGGACTAAATATAAATATGTAAATAAAGTGAAAAATAAGTCAATTGTGTCACTCAGTTCTGGTTTACGTAGCCATAATTGGAAAAAAAATTACATCGCAAAGTTAAATGTAAAAATTTTCATTTAGATTTTTTAATAATAATATGTACGTGTAACATTTTGAAATACTGTATGAAAAATACTGTAGTCTTTGAACCGTTTGTTCAAAAGGCTAACGTGAATGCATGATATTTAAATTTTTTAGGGTTTCATATTATTTTTTTAATTACAGCAACTTGTAGGCAGAATATGACATTCTTTTAACTCATTAAAATGTAATGTAAATACTATAGTTTAATGTAAATTGAGAGAGAGAGAGACGTTTTGAGAATGACTTGTGTTTGTGTAGTTTTTGTTTTTGTTGTTATTGTTTGATTGTCTTTTTGTCTTTAGAAAAACAGTAATGTGGAGGGAAACACAATTATTTTCCCATGTAAAGAGGATCTAATGTCCTACAAGATCCTAGTCAGCACTCTGGTCACCGCTGGCAGGTGAAGGGCTTCATCTTCTACAAATACAATGAACTCACTCTCTCCCACATACACATCATAGCAGTCAAAAGATAAAGAGTGTACTGTATGTGTGTGTTGGTAGGCTGGTCAGTGGGGGTTTTCCTATAGGTCATTTTTCTCACATCTTTGTGGATGAGGCAGGACATGCTGTGGAGCCAGAGGCCATCATCAGTGTGGCAGGTGGAGTGCTTCACAGAATAACATGAAAACCGTCAGATCTTTCATTTAAGATCAATCTGTGATAGCATTTCATTCATGTGTGTTTAGGACTGCTGAATGCAGAGACTGGACAGCTTGTTTTGGCTGGAGATCCCAAGCAGCTGGGGCCAATCCTGAGATCTCCTTTTGCCATTAGATACGGACTTGGTGAGATGACTAATAACACACATACAGTACACACTTGATTCACTTGTAATTTACATTGTAAATGTGTTTGTAGGTCTTTCCTTGCTGGAGAGGCTGATGACACAGAATGAACTTTACCAGAAAGGTACTACTGGATACGACAACCGTTATGTAACCAAGCTGCTGCGGAACTACAGGTAAAATCTGAATAATCTGCAAAACTACAAATTGACTAGTTGTCTGACCAGCTTGTTGACTAGTTGCTCTTTAAGAAGCCCTGAACAATAAGCTCTGAATAGGGTCCAACTGAGGGAAAAAAATAACTTGATGGAGTACAAAGTCCTAAAGGCTGAACAAAACTATTTTGAACTTGTCAGGGTAAAATTTCTGACACATGTAAAGAAAGTTTTTGCGATGTATAGAGGATGATCAAAAATTCTTAGACCTTTGTGTGGAGGGAGTGCAGATGGTTATGAATGAGGAACAAATAGCAGCTAGAGCCATTTGTCTTTTTGATTTGTAGTTTTGACTTGTAGCCAGGAGCCAGTAAGAGTAGGAAAGATAGGGGCACAGGCCAGTATAAAGAAGTAAACAAATAAGCTTGAACATAGATTTGACTCCTGGCCATGAATCAACATGGGAACCAGAGGAAGCTGGTGTGTCTATGGGTTTTTGCTGTGCAGAGGACAGGATGCCATGTGAAAAGTTTGGAAATGGGCCAATCTGTGTAAAATAGATTGGGATAGGTCCAATCCGAATTAAGTGTTCAGAACACATGTGGGATTTCTACCACAAAACTGACACAAATGCTTCTTTCTTCCATGCTTTGTATGTAAATTTAAAATGAGTCTGAATCCGTTTCAGCACCACTGATTCACATGTCTCTAATTCACACTTTTCTTTCTCTATCTCGCCAGGTCTCATCCATCCATTCTGAAGATTCCTAATGAGATGTTCTATGATGGGGAGTTGGTGGCATGTGCAGATGAGATGATCTCCCACCAGTACTGCATGTGGGAGCACCTGCCAAAAAGTGTATGAGACATCCCAGACACACACACACACCTGATATGTAAATGTAAACAGCAGTTCAGGAATGTCAAGACAATGTATTTTGGTTAGGTTAGGTTATGATGTTATACAGTTGCTATATGCACCCAGGATATTGTTTGGTCTCTGGGTGTGTTCCATACCTAGTGATCTGACTCTCTCACTCATGTCTCATTGGCAGCTACTTTCTAATGCAGCATCTTCTTAAGTCACTCAAATGTTTAAGACAGAAGACTTGGGGTTCAGGCTTGGGAACATGTCAAATTTCATCGAAATCATTTATAGAGTCTCTTGTGAAAGGTGTGTAATGAGTCAGAGAAAACTTAAAGTTGCTTATTGCCAGATTTCTCAAAATTTTGTACACAGTTTTCTGTCAGGACCACTATCGTCAAAGATGATTGACAATTAGCATACAGTTTGGATTGGCGGTATGGTTCTGTTCTGGGCAAAAACTCCCTGCGCATCCATGCAGCCTAGCATGGATGAGAGCAGGGAGAGCAGCAATAACCCCCCAGGGTAAACAAAACAGAACCAACATAAATGTATTGCAGATATTGTTAAAGTTCAATAATTTAATGTACACATTTTAGAATTAGTCTGATTCAAAGGAGAATCAGAAGGCTGAATCCTGACTGACAGAGGAGGAGTTGGGGATGGACTATAAGAAAAGAACCTTTGCTTTCTCTTTCTCTTTCCTTAATCCCCCCTAGATGGGGATCAGCTGAGAGTCAGCTGATGCGAGCTTGACTAACGTGACCTGCCAGAACTAACGCTACGCTTGATTTTTGTAATCAGATTTGACATTAGTCACTTAAATCTGGTTGCTGGCGTACATGTTTTTTTATATAGTCGATTAGAGGATATGGTAATGTCCCAATACCCACATGTGCAATGTAGCGCTTGAACATTTGTCTGTGCATTTGCATGACATATTTCCTGTAATTGGCTCAAGTGTTCAAGTAGGCATGTAGACCGCAAGTGTGTGTAGAACTTTTGACTCTTCTTTTGACTGTTTTACTGAATTTAGTAACTGCATTGCTTCTAATTAAGTGGTAAAAAGCAGTTGCAAATGTTTTAAAAATACACATACTCCTTTCTAAAACAATAAAATGTTCACCACTTCACATTTTATTACCAAATTAAGCGACAGCTGAAAACTATAAAAGAACCTTTGCTTTCTCTTTCTCTTTCCTTAATCCCCCCAATCTAGCTTGTACTAATCTGAATGATGCCTGAAACTTCGTATTAACAGCACTTCCTGTGTTTATTTGCCTCTTTATGATGAATCGCTTGTTGTATTCCTCAATTGAATATGTTGGGATACACATAGCAGGGTTTCTGCAGTCCTTCAAAAAAATCGTACATTTGGTTTGCTAAAATTTAAGACCGTAAAGAGTCTTAAACAGTATAACAAAAGTGTTAAGTATTTAAAGAAGTCTTAAATTTGGGTCGCTGCGATATGGATATGTGATTATTAAACATCAAAAGGCTATGATTCAATTAAATAAATGTGCACACTGCACATTTCAAAATAACGAATACGATTGCTTATGATGCACCATTGATAAACTGACAATGTTTACATTATGGTTTTTATATTATTTTGTAGATGGTTGTGTGTCTCTCATCTTTTTGAATGAGCAGCTGGAAGTAGTAAAGCATAGACATTACAAAATAAGAATGATTTAATTATATATATATATATATATATATATATATAAACAAATGTATTAATTAATAAAATATCATTAAATTGATCAAAAGAGACAGTAGAGATATTTATAATGTTACAGGAATTTTCTGTTTCAAATAAATACTGTTCTTTTGAACTTTGTATTCATCAAAGATTCATCATTTATTCATCAAATTTTTTCAACATTGATAATAATAAAAAATGTTTCTTGTGCACCAAATCAGCATATTAGAACGATTTCTGAAGGGTCATGTGACACTGAATGTGTCTCTCATCTTTTTGAATGAGCAGCTGGAAGTAGTAAAGCATAGACATTACAAAATAAGAATGATTTATTTTGATATTGTTTTGTTTTCTGTACCGGAATGTATTAATTTTATTTGTGCAGGTCTTAAAAAAGGTCTCAAAGCCTTAAATCTGATTTTGAAAACCTGCTTATCTTCAAATACCGCTCCCATTCACTTTTTAACGTTGTCCACCTCCTCCTCAAGGGGTATCCGGTCACACATGCCCGCACACACACAAATCATCAGTGTAAGGAATGTAAAGGCCAGAAACTGAGATAACTGCCTTTTTGAACTTGGTTGTATTTCATGGTTACATTTGGTGCTTAGGAATGTGACATTTTTCATTAACCAGTCTCCACTTGTTCTTTGTAATGATGATGTTACTGTTTATATCTAGAAAGTTCAACACAAAGACCTCTTTTTGAATGTGTTGTTGTTTTGCACTGATAATTATAGTATGGTTGGTTGTGCTCTGCTCTGTGCTGCATTTTCAGGGATTTCCTGTGATTTTTCATGGAGTGATTGGAAAGGATGAGAGAGAGTCAAACAGTCCCTCCTTTTTCAACACTTCTGAAATCGATATCATAATTGACTACATGAAGAAGCTCCTGACACAGGCAAAGAAGGGCATTGCAAAAATCTCCCCCAAAGAGATTGGCATTATCGCCCCCTACAGGAAACAGGTGAAAATACCTTTTTAACGGCTCGGCCACAGCAAACGTGATGCATAATGTGCAAGCACAATGCAGTTAGTACCAAGTAAATCCTAAAGAAACTTTGTTTGCAGAGATACACCACCATTCAAAAATTTGTGGTTGGTAAGATTTGTTTGAAAGAAGTATCTTATACTACAGTAAAAACAACTTAAAATAACTGTTCATTTTCTATTTTAAAATAAAAATGTATATTCTAAAATGTAATGATGGCAAAGCTGAATTTTCAGCATCCATTACTCCAGTCTTCCTTCAGAAATGATTCTAATATGCTGATTTGCTGCTTAAATCACAGTTGAAAACTGTTGTGCTGCTTAATATTTTTGTAAAGAACATGAGGCTTTTTTCAAGATTCTTTGATGAATAGAACGTTCAAATGTGTGTATTTGAAATCTTTTGTTACATGACAAATGTCTTACTGTCTTTACTGTTCTTTTGATCAATTTAATGGGTCCTTTCTGAAGAAATGAAATGAAATGAAAATATCAATATCTTACAAAAAAAGTACTAATGCCAAACTTTTGAACGGAAGTTTGAATACATAAGTCTACTTATGGACAGTTAAAAATATCTACACACATTTTCTACTGTTCTCCGCACAACCGTTCACATAGACTGCTGGCTGTTATTCAAGCAAGCTAAACTTTGTTTTTACGCAGATCATCATTATCATTCTCTTTAAGGTGTTTTTCTCATGATTGTTCACTCTGCCTTTATTTTTTATTGTACATATCTGTTTTATTTTTACAGGTGGAGAAAATCAGGAAGGCCATCAAGTTGCACAGAGAGCTTAAATCCTTTTTGGGCATTGAGGAGCTGAAGGTCAGCATGAGTATGAGCTCCACTCTGTTATCAGTTCTCATCCGTGTCAGGACACTTGAGCAAAAACATGACTGCTGTGTGTGTTGTGTAGGTTGGCTCTGTGGAGGAGTTTCAAGGCCAGGAGAGGAAAGTGATCATTGTGTCAACTGTTCGCAGCGACAAGAAACACATCATTTTGGATGAAACATTCAACATTGGGTTTCTGAAGAATGAGAAGGTAGTGTCTAACACATGACAATATACCACACAGAAGTCTACCAAACAAAGTTGTTTCACCTCTTGCTTTCTCTTCTCCAGAGATTCAATGTGGCAGTGACGAGAGCAAAATCCCTGCTCATTATGGTGGGAAACCCCATCATTCTACGAACAGACGCGACCTGGGGAAGGTATATAAACTTCCAACTAACACATGCATAATAACATACATAAAATACTCTTTATATGATTTCTGGAACATGCTGGGAGATGATGTTGCGAGCTGATTTTTTTACCTTGTTGATCTATGTGTTTGTAGGTTTATTAATTACTGCATTGAGGAGGAAGGTTATACTGGATATGATATTTCCAACTTGGAGGAAACAGATGCGGTTGTTGAGCGTCTGCTAGCACTAAACATCCGTGAGGAGATCATAGGTAAGACATGGCTTTAATTAAAGTACAGCCACACTAGACTTTGCACTTTATTTGCTTCCATTAATGCAGAACAGGAAATGCAAGCTTAAGGTAGTCTATTGCTGAAGTTCAAATATAGTGAACTCTGATCTGCAAATTTGAATTAAAGAGATATATTTGAATATTTAGAATGTATTGTATTAATAATTGATTATTTAATAAAAGTGGCCCAAGAGCGTGACAACACATCCTGTTTTTCATGTTTGCTTGCTAAAGTTTGACCGCACATTCATAATTCATAATTTACTGACAGGTTATACAGTATAAATTCAGACTGGAGTGATGATGGCTGATTCAGCTTTGCAATCACAAGAATAATTAAATTTTTGAACAAAAAAAAAACATTATTTTAAATGGTAATATTATTTTACAATATTAATGTTTTTACTATATTTTGATCAAATAAATGCAGCCTGGGTGAGCATAAGAGACTTTTCTCAAAATCTAACCGACCCTAAACTCTTAAACGGTGGTGTATTTGGTCCTACACAACTGTACACCTGTTTTGTTTATAGGACAATATTAAGGACTTAATATTAAGCACTTTCTGTGCTTTTCCTTCTTCTTTGGGATTTAAAATAAATCTTGAACCAAGTTCTAACTGTCATGTTCTTTCTCATCCTAGTGGAAACAGAGGAGAGTGTGGTCCAGCAATATCTGAATCCTGAGTGGAGACATGACCATTAAATGAAGTGCCATTATTAAAGTGCCTCCCAGTCAGGCTTCTCTCATTAGCATAACCACACCCCTTTCCCTTCCTCTTGCTGAAGTTAGACTGAGAAAGTCTATATGAACTTAGAAGTTTAATTTTAAAGCTAAAATTGCACTATATGCTGTAAGCATTGCATTAAAGTAAAGGTTTTTTTTTTTTTTAGTAATCAGTGCTGCATGACTAGAGAAAACAGATAAAAGGAGTTGTGGCGGTCCCTTTTGCCAAAAAGTTTGAAAATACTTCAACGCCCATAATACATTGGGCTCATTGCTGTCCAAGGCATCTGACCATTCAACTGTCCATATGCAGGAATACAAATATGCTAATAAATAAACCGGGAGATCTGGGTGCAGGTTACATGGGGAAAGAATACACATTGTTCATTTACGTATAATACCGAAAGTGTAACAATATAAATCTGATTGAAAATTTGCCAACTTGTCCTTTAATCTCAGGGCTTTGTATGCAATGTTGCCTATATTGATTGAAAAGTTTTATTAGTTTATCAGGTAAATCACTGATTACTGCCCTAAAATAAGTGCCTTGTTTTATGAAATTACCAAAGAACAGAAATGATATTTTAATAATGCTTAATTGATAGTAAAGGTTTTGTTTGTGGTCCCACTGGATTGTCTGAAAATTGCAAATGGAGTTGGAGGTTTACATCAGTGCATTGTCAAACACATCATTAAACAATTGTGTACTTCATTTCAAGGACGTTTGACTGAAGTAAATACATTATTGTAAAATGGAGGATGTTGAATCACAAATGAATGCAAAATTTGGAGACATGTTAATACTTCTATCAAGCCTGTCAACAAACTCATTACCGGTTTCTCACAGTCAGCAGACTTCAAAATTTAATACATGCCATGACACGTCATTTGAAAAGAAAAAGTATAATGTATATTTATTGACCATGAAACTATTTTGCATTATTTCTTTGCAAAGGAATTTCGTTTTTTTTTTTTGCGCTTTGTATTCAATCTTTTCAGAATTATCAGAATTTTGTCCTGCATATTTTAGTTTTTGTAGTTTAATTAATGGAATGTGTCGCCACATTAAGTTATCATTACTTATATAAGGAAAAAAATCTATCATCTTCTGAGGATAAATGATAGTCATTGAACTAGACTGCATGTGTTTCATTGCTATGATCTGCTCACTTTTAATAATGCTAAAAAAATTAACTATGTATTATGTTGCCACTCTTACAACGTTTTGATGAAAAGAAAACCTTCATAAAGGCAACCTGTGACACCTAAGCTAATAATCCTCACTTGGTCTAGAATCATAATTTTGTTATGCAGACTTGGTTATGATGAGCTGCCTATTTCAGACTCTGCATCTGCAGTGCTGCTCTCTGATCAGCAGGGGGCGTAACTCTGGACGCTACAGTTGCGTTTATACCAATAATTGTGAAACTTTTGTTTTAGGAATACTAGCACATTATACACTTAATAACATATTTTTCCTTACACATATGGCAGGGATGGGTATATCGTGAAAGGATCCTGCAGGTTAACCCTACTACATCGCTTACGTTTCGTTTTGCCTGCTTTATAACTTCCGTAGAAACAATTGCGCCTGGTTCATATGAGAGAGTGTGATCGTAAACCGTTCATTTTGTTTCTAGTAACTGACCTAAGAGCTTCAAGTATCAAACAGTATGAACAGAAGAAACAGGAATAATTATCTCTCTATAGCCGCTGTGCGCACAATTGGACTGGACTTCATTGAGATGCTAGAGGAAACCAACAGAAGATCCATTACTGACAGAAACACACTCAGAGACATCTACAATGAAGAGTTTCGAGATAGGTAAAACGATAACCATGCACATCAGTGAACGTCTGTATTAATTTTAATTCAGTTAAATGAATAAGTGCGTCATCTATTGCACACTTGTATTCACAGGGACGGTGGTGTCAAAGATCCAAACTTCTCTAGAGTCATCTTTGCATTGAGAAACGGGAACAAAGCCCGTCTTTCCAGATCAGGAAGGCATGTTTACTTTAACACCAATGTAAGACATCTTATTATATTTACTACTGGCTACCAGTTAGCCAGATGATTTATGCACATTTGATGTAATTATTTCGGATATATTTAATAGCAGTGTTGGGCTAGTTACTCAAAGAATGTAATATATTACTCATTACTAGTTACTCATTTCAAAAGTAATATTGTTACTTTACTTATTACTTTCTGGCAACAGTAATTAGTTACACTACTAGTTAAATTACTTTTTCTTCACGCCCCACAGAAGTTGTAACTGTGTGTCTTCCACATAAAATTCTAGTGATTGATAGTGACATTCAAGTAGAAGTGTTGTATTAATCTCATTAATTGACATGTGTAGCTTGAAGCTAATTGCAATTTCTCCGTTACCCATATACGATTATATTTCATTATGTATTTTATCAAATACTATCATTTGTATTTTATCAAAAACTGTTTAATTTTCCAAAAATATTTTTAATTATAGTAATATAATGTACCACATGCTGATCAGAGGGATGTAATGTCAGAGTAAAGTAAAGCCACAACTAACACAACAGTGCTCTGATTAGGGTTGTGCGATATTGAAGAAAAATGCGATACGCGATACCTTGTTAAAAAATGCGATATTCGATATGCAATACGATATTGCTTAAAGTGTGTCAAATCAATTTCAATTATATTTTAAAATATTTAAAAATGAAAATTATATAACCAATT